TATTCAGATGACAATAAGAAAGCTTCCACTGTGAGAAGGGGACAAATAACCAGTATTGAGATGTCAATAAAGAAAGCTCCCACTGTGAGAAGGGGACAAATAACCAGTATTGAGATGACAACAAGGAAAGCTTCCACTGTGAGAAGGGGACAGATAACCAGTATTGAGATGACAACAAGGAAAGCTTCCACTGTGAGAAGGGGACAGATAACCAGTATTCAGATGACAATAAAGAAAGCTTCCACTGTGAGAAGGGGACAAATAACCAGTATTCAGATGACAATAAGAAAGCTTCCACTGTGAGAAGGGGACAAATAACCAGTATTCAGATGATAATAAAGAAGTCTACTTCCTCCCCAATGGCAACGAGCTAAAGAAGAAATCCCAACAGATTCAATTTTACAAAAAATAGGTGTAATAACTTTGAACATTATCACTGACTGGTGGTGAACTGGTAAGTTCTAAAAATGTGATATATGCATTTATAGTCATAAATTAACACTTATTTCAGTGACAAAGATATGTTATTAAAATTCTGTAATCAATATAAGCTACATTATTGTGTGGTATTTGTGTAAAAGTGATCAAAAATCAGACTTTCACACATAATTAAAAACAAAAAGACTAGATAAAAAATATATTTTATTTTTGGTGTTTGTTTTAGGGGTAAAACAAATCAGAATTCAACGTTTGAATCTTGTTTTGTTGTGTAGTTCATTGGGTTTGACGTGCATGTATAAATTAATAGTTTCATATTTTAAATTTCTCAATATCAGTGTGTTCACACACATACAACAAACTTTTAATATTACTGTTGTTGCTTCTCCGTTGATGGGTATACATAGCTATTAATCCTCCACAAACTGACAAGTAGTACCGCATGACACAGCTGTAACAACGAACTGCTCCATGGAGTAGAAGGGAAAGTGTTCCAACACAGCTCAACGACACCCAACAGGCATAATCTACAAAGAAAATTACAATTTTATCACACCTGAAAAACTCCAGTTAAAGAAATGATAAAAGTAGCAATCAGTGCCAGTAATTAAAGTGTCTGCACCAATAGTATGATTTTGTAACCTCCATAGACTTACCACTGTCCCATTGGGGGATGATTACTAAAGAAAGAAGTAAAAACAAATTCAGTTTTTTCTATTTTCTTTTGGCTGGACAAACTCTTTATTATTTCTGTTGCCTCAATATGAAGATTAAATAATCTTACACTTATTTTGACACTTTCAGTTCCTTAAATTATCTATTTATTATTAATAATTTCTGAGGGCAAACATATAACATAGTATAATAATATGTCATCCACACTGTATCTTCTATATCCAGAACTCCTCACATCTGGCTGGGATGCAAAAGACATTGTAGTGGTTCAAATGTTATTAGCAAACTGCTTGACTGCAACTGTTACAGTGTGAACTGACATAAGTCAGTGCTGTTACAGTGTGAACTGACATATGTTGGTGCTGTTACAGTGTGAACTGACATACGTCGGTGCTGTTACAGTGTGAACTGACATATGTTGGTGCTGTTACAGTGTGAACTGACATTCGTCGGTGCTGTTACAGTGTGAACTGACATTCGTCGGTGCTGTTACAGTGTGAACTGACATTCGTCGGTGCTGTTACAGTGTGAACTGACATAAGTCGGTGCTGTTACAGTGTGAACTGACATACGTCGGTGCTGTTACAGTGTGAACTGACATACGTCGGTGCTGTTATAGTGTGAACTGACATATGTTGGTGCTGTTACAGTATGAACTGACATATGTTGGTGCTGTTACAGTGTGAACTGACATAAGTCAGTGCTGTTACAGTGTAAACTGACATATGTTGGTGCTGTTACAGTGTGAACTGACATACGTCGGTGCTGTTACAGTGTGAACTGACATATGTTGGTGCTGTTACAGTGCGAACTGACGTACGTCAGTGCTGTTACAGTGTGAACCGACGTATGTCGGTGCTGTTATAGTGCGAACTGACGTACGTCGGTGCTGTTACAGTGTGAACAGACGTATGTCGGTGCTGTTACAGAGCGAACTGACATATGTCGGTGCTGTTACAGTGTGAACTTACGTACGTCAGTGCTATTACAGTGTGGGATGGGTCACGGCATTACTTGCTAACTTTACTATTAAAATTGCGATTGGTCACGACATTACTTGCTAACTTCACAATTAAAGTTGGGATGGGTCATGGCATTACTTGCTAACTTTACTATTAAAGTTGGGATGGGTAACGACATTACTTACCAACTTTACTATTAAAGTTGGG